AGTGCTTTTTAAGTACTCCAAAGCTACAAAACCTAATTCAAAATACTACATTAATTCCATATGCTTTTGCAGCTATACAAAAAGACTGCAAAAAGACACCTTTCTAATACGGTAATATTTTACAACCACTTTGCAGGACAACAAAGAAAAGAGTCACAAAAAGCAGCTCAGAATTGTGCAGTTCGACTGTGTTCATGAGTATGCAGCTCCCATTGTTGACAAAAGAGAGTTGCTTGACCTGACTGTAGGCAGTATGAGGTCAAGAAATATTAATAAAATGCTTTCTTAACTGTTTATTTCTGCTTTTTTTTATATATATTCTTGTTGTGATGCAACAGACCATTTGAGGTCAACTGCCAAGCTATCAGTGGAGATGGAGTAAAGCACCTTTATCTAAGCCTTCGCTAACAGAGTACTCAGCTGTGACTCAGAGAGGGTAAGTTAACTGATTATACTTAGCTTTCTCTACTAGGGTAAAATGAGTTGCAGAGAGAATGCACTGAAAGCCAAGGGCCTCTAAATACTTTTCCCTTTTATGGAATAGCTCCCAGTTCACCATTTCCTGGAGATTGTACTCTAAGCCTACACAGTGGTAAAAGAAAGTTCTCTGCATTCACTGATCTATATCTGACTACAAATTTGAGCTCAGAGGATCATTTTTTTCCTATTTTAAGCAGTAAGTTTACAATAACAGACCAAAACATTAAAAAAGCACTCCTTTCTTTTTCTTACTTTTTTTCTTTACATTGTCTCATCTTGGTGTGGAAATAAGCAGAATCTGGTGAACAGGATAGGTAATTTGTTGTGGGTTTTTTGACTCGTTTTGTAGGTGCAAAAGGCTTGTGCAGACTAAGTTTGTAAATCATCGCCCGCATCCGCTCTTCTTGTGACATGTGAGTTAATCTACAAGTATTTAATTTCAAAAGGTTATTTTGAAGCTCTCGCAATTTCTAAAAGACTGGAATCTTGAGGGGGGATTGTTTACTCTGATAAAACACTATGATAATCTCCTGACATCCTTTGATAGGACAGGGCTAGGCCAGACAGAGTTTGATCAATGCCTAACAAAAGAAATAACAGAATCTTGAAATTGTGTTAATGACTAGGATGCTAACATGTGCTTATGCACTTTGACTGTCTTTACAGTGCAGATGTATTTTTTTTAATCTATCCTTTCAGTATCTTCAGGGACAATAATTACAGTTGTTTCAGTTGGTATCTCACTGTATTGCATGCATTGTTAACATTTCCTTCTTTGACTGAAACATGTTTGTGCTTGTGGAAAGGAGATAAAGCTGGCAAAGCTAATGGGATCACCATTCCAAAAGCTCTTCAGCTGGCAGATAAACCATGCTTAGAACCAGGATAGTTGTGCTCTCTGCGCTTTGGCTCAGGGTTCAGTAAGGCTCTAAGCTGGTTTTGTAGATAGAGGTGTGAATTTCTGTAGGTTCCAAGGCTGTACTCCTCCCTAATGCTCTACTGAAGAATTAAAAATGTACCTTTCAGGGAAATAAATTTTCCAAGAACAATTTTTTCTTTTCTTCCTACATTTGTGAGATGCAGATAAGCTCCTCTAATTCTTGTGAGAGTGTTCTCATGAAGCCCCCTTTTTTTATACATTTTGACTCTCTCTGACATTTACTGGGGCTATTTTCATTGCCCAGTCAAATAGGCATAAGGTCACCAGCAGTGATGAAAGAAGGTTTACTCACTAATATGTTAAGATTCCATCCTTTCCTACTGTTAGAAGGCAGTAATTGATACAGAAGACGGCAGAACTACTTGCACAGCATGGAGAAGGAAGATGGCTCTGTTGGTTATATCCATTTGCATTTACAAGATGTGATGTTTGTGCTGGTTAAGCATCATAAAGTCTTTAAAGGATCTGGACTAATGATTTTAAGAACACTGTACAGGTTAAAAATAAGCTTTTAGACTGAAAGAAAAATCATTCAGGAGTTCTAATTCATATATCTTATGAATTGAACTATGTCCTTATTTATTTTGTTGAAATACCAGTAAGTAGTAGTCCTTACTTTGGTAGCAGCAGTGCAGTCAAGGTGTGCAAAGACTGCATTTGTTTTAAGAAGCCTCAGAATTGAATAATATGCAAGCTTCTGCTGCTCCAATACAGTCTTCAGCACTGTGGTATTCTGGAGAGATATGAGAAAAAAACAGAAAGTCAGAAGAAGAAATTTTCCTACTGATCAGTACCACAAGGACTTGGAGCTTTTTCCTATTTGCAAGATAGCTCTGTAAGGAAGTCAGAGTAAGGTTCTAATTGTGTCAGAGACGATCTGAACTCAGTCCACTCCAAATCTGGGGGTTGTTAAGGTGGCGTAAATTCATCTTTCTACCCTCCGTTCTTCCTTGGCTGTACTTTCTGTGCTGCATCTCTAAGACAACACAGCTCAGGATTTGTCCCTTACTATTCTTAGACAAGCTTGATGATTATTTTTTTCTTTAAAGTTTTTTTGCTTTTTAAATCTGAGAAACGAACTGAAACTTGTGCTTAATAGCCCTTTCTCATTTCAATATGACTTGCATTACTTGAAGTTTAGTATGTACTAGGAACTCAGCTAAGACTGATAATAAACCACTTTGATGCAGTTCCTTATACAACTCCATGTAGGACTGCAAATACACTTTGGCCATGACTTGAAACATTCCTGATTTTTCAGGCCTGGCATTCTGTTGAGTTGAGCCTATCAGAAGTATTATAAATTCGTAAGGCAAACACTAAGAGGGATTAGATAAACAGCCAAATTTATATCTTCTCTTTTTTTGTTTTTGTTTGAATTTGACTTCTTGCAAACTCAGAAATTGCATAGGATGCCAGGATTTTGTTACAGAGATGAAAAGCAAGTCCATGTCACTTTTTTTAGTTACCTCGCTTCTGTCTGGTCTTCATGTTTTGTTAATAGTTTGGTGACTGTTGTTTGATACAAAAATACTTAACTGTTGAAACACAGAGATGTTTAATGCTACTGCTATCTGCCCAATCTCTGTGAGTTTATTAAAATACATGTAATCGTAAGTGTCTGTTTTCCATCACGTTAGGGACTTTAAAGATATTTTGCCCTAATAAATGTTTTTAAATCTTCCTTTTACTGATAGAAAACTCCCTCTACTCTTATTTGAGGTCAGAGGTGGATAAAATCATGATACAAACATGAGCTTCCACTTACTGCAGTAGAGCTAGAAGTTCAGGTTCAGGTTCAAAATGTTTACAAAAGCTTGTAACATGCTGTTCCTACAGCATATACTGCTCTGAAAAAAACTATGCTCACTGTTCAAAACGAGTCGCTCTCTTGGTTTTCATAATGATCTCATATATGCTGCATCTTTTCCACAGTCTTTATCAAAGAACTTCAATGAAATAATTATTTTTTCTGACCACACTAATAGTTGTGTAGAGATCATTTTTACCATCTATTAGTTCTGCATTAAATTTCAGGTGAGGTGCCCTTATATTTGTCTTCTAGTAAAAGAGAAAATTAAGTTTCCAATATAATGTGAAATAAATCTAATAAAAGCATGGGTCATAGCTGCTTCTGTAGTCCAGACTTTTCCCACATTCTGTAGGCTTTACAACACAGAATTTTTTCTGTGAAAGCTGAGGTGAGGAACTTGTCACTATTGAGGCTGCTTCAGTATTTTCAGTGAATGTTTTTCTTTTTTTTTTCTTTTTTTTTCTTTTTTTTTTTTAATCAACATGAGTATTTTGACAGTTTTAACTGTCAGCCTCAATAAACTGACATGTTCCTGAATCCATTTCTTTGCCCTTTCCTGAAATGGAAGGGAAAACTGTAGAAGGTTAATCTTACAACACTGATAAGTGCCTTGAACTTCAAATCATCTCCCCATCTCAACCTCTTTGTTCTATCTATCTTGATTTATAGAAGAGTAAAAGAATTGAGATGAGATTAGTAATTCAGGTTTGGGAGAAGATAACATGTTTTGGAGGGTGAACCTGTGCTTGTTGGGTATATTTACCTCCTTGGCACACTATTGAAGTTGTTACATTACTGTTTGAGTTGAGCCTATCAGAAGTTAGCTCCATTCTATACACAGCTGTGAATTAACTGCAAAGGGAATATAGTTAGCTTTTACTAGTCCGGACAGAAACTGTGTACCAGGCTGTCTTTGATAACTGCATTGTCTGTCATCTGTAGGCACCCCCAAGGAGTTGAATGATTTATTTATGAGGACTGTTCCTTAACTATCCGGTAGGTGTCATAGTAAGTCTTGTAATACATACACTGTAGCTATAAGGATTAGTGCTTAACATTTCTCATCTTCAGCCTACTGTACAGGCTTTAATGCTAATAATAGCCTTGTGAAGGCAGTAGCTCCCATTGATACTAATAAAAAGAATTTTCTCAGCTAATATGTAGTGATTTTTTTTTTTCATTTGGGCATTACTGCTATTTGCTTCAGAAGTGTCTTGCACACTGTTGTCTTGTACTGATGTGCACCAAGTCTTTGCACAATTCACCTTCAAAGGAAGAGTGCCACCATCTGGGTTTGCAGTTTTATTCCCTTCTCTGAGGTCTGAGATCACGCTCTGTAGCATTAGGACTTCGTTAAGTTACTAAAAGGCATATTACAGATATCCAGGATGCTGTTTCCTTCTTAGACCATTTTTAAAGAGAGTAGTTTGGTCACAGCCAAAACAGTCACAGTAACGAAGAAAAATCTGTAAAATGGAGGGAAGAGATGGAAATAGCAACAGAAGGTTGTCCATTTTTAATGCATTTACTAAGTTAGACTTGACCTTGAAAGCTTTAGTTAATAAAACACGAGATAGCATTTTTAATTTTAAACCTGAATACTGTTTGTTATTGTAAAGTGATCTCCATGATAGTGCACAGAGTTTTAAATGGATTTGATTTGTATTTTTGGCATCTAACACAGCCTGCGGATCACAAGGCCTTTCAGCGCTTATGCCTTCAGGCTAACTTGAAACAGCTATTCTCAGCAGTGCATGGTCCTGTTAGTCCACGTCGCGGTTCCACGTGCTTCACGCTGTCCACCATGCCAACCTTACCTGAAGACAAGGGACAATCAAAAGAGGCACAACACCACAGTTCTCCTCCAGCCAAAGTAAGCACTCTTACAAAGAGGTTTTCTGACACTTGTTGAAAACCTGAGGCTGAAACCTGTTTGTGTATATGTAGGACTTTATAAAATAACATCTAATCATTGCTATGTATTAGTATGTTTTGATTAATTGATGAAGCTATGAATGATCTTTCAGTTGATAGTCTTAGAATTCTTCAAATGTTTTATTGGCTAAGGAATGAGAACTGAAGTTGCTCAAGCACTTGTTTATCAATTTGATCTGGAGGCTTATATGTCTGTCTGTTCTGAACTATTTATATCAAAGCTGTCCAAAAATGTCCTTTGTGATGTTATTACAGAAAACTTTAACCTTTGAGAAAAGAACTTAGGCTCACAGTAGTCTTGAAACATCTAGTGTTGCCTTTATAGATGTAGAAGATGCTATGCAATTCATGTGTGCATGAAAAATGGAAATCTTTTTGGTTTGTAGTCTTTCTCAGTGCTTTATTTGCCACAGGAGTAGCTGAACATATACTGGAACCATACAGAGAGCAGGTGGGTGTTCCCCAGACATATTCATCATTTTGCTCCTCAACTGTGTGGCATCTACATGTTTTTACATGTTTTTTGCAGATAAATGTTTTATGCAGATGAAAAATCAACAGGAGATTATACTTCTCCCTCTTGAATAATTTATGCCACTGATAAAAAGTAATTTTATGTTGTAATAAAGTGGAGGAGTTTTTTTAATTGTTAGCTTAGCTGAAGTAAAGAACCTTACTGTGAATACAAAATTACAGGTTATCCAGATCATCCTGTTTTATGCAAACTGGTATAAAGAAAGAGAGGATTTATAATCTGGCACATTCTCAGTTAAAAATGTATCACTGTCACTGAATTTGAGGACACTGTATTCTACACTTTAGGTGAAAACATCCGCTACTTTAACATTGTTGGAAAATATTGTCAGCAGTGAGACCTACACTGATTTGTCATGCATTCCATCTAAATTGCACATTGTGCTGAGTGTTAGTTTCCTGGCTTAAGATAAACACCCCAGATGGATGCTAGTTCATCAGACTATTAGCTGAGAAAATATATTAGGTGAAGAAGATTTTATTATTTTTTTCAACTCAGCCATTTGAAGAATATTTTAGTACAAAAGACTTGCTGGGTAGAACACACCCAAAGAGAAAAAAAATATGAAGAGCTAGCAGACATCAATGAATCTAATCCAAGCGTGCTTGTCAAATGGGAGAAATGAAGAATTCCAACCACCTAATTAAAAAAAGAAAAAAAAATTCTTAATACATTATACAGATCTTTTAGAGGTGGTTCTTAAATGAACTGTGATAATGGGATAGTTCATGAATCAGTTCACTGTGCAAAACACTTCCTGTTAGAGAAATTGGTACTTTTAGTCACAAAGTAACAGTGGAAGGATTTTTTTTTTTATTTTTTTTTTTTTAACCAACACACTACTCATGAGCTTGCTTAAGGATTGCAACTAGTCAGTGTTGCAAGAAATTGATCTTGTTCATGACTGTTACCACTCTTGGGTCTTGCTGCAGTCCAAGTTCTACAGCATGACTATGTAATAAGTAAAATAGCTTATCATTGTGAGATAAGGACTTGCAAGCAAGGAGAGGGCATCGGAAGGAGCTAATAACTGGCAGACTTGTTTTCTGCCATTGAACAAAACTTTCCAACTCTGGAATCCCATCTAAAGTGCTGTCTGGTATCTAACAACTTCCTCATTCTGTTTCAGGAGATGTTCCTCACCTTCTCCCTGCATGCACAAATGCACACATATTCACAAAACAGTGCCGAGAAAAAGAAAATGAACCTTACATCACATGTAGTTTCTTGCTTACTTCAAGTACCTTTACATGATGGGAAGACCTGGGCTATATTTCTCAAATTCATTTTGAGAAAACAAGTATGGTTTTCCATTTCAGTATTTCTTACAGCAGCCTGTGCTTCACCATTCTGACTAACTCTAAATAACATTAATCAAAGTATTTGTTAGCTCTGTGTTCCTGAGGGAAGTAGATGTGAAATTCCCAGTAACACAAGTTACTTGAGTGCAGTTAGCTTAATTAAAAGAACTTTAGCCCCTTGTTTGAAAGTTTGTCTGAATTAATAGTATGTAGTTGAACTCCTAGTTTGTGTGCTGGCTTGTTACAGTAAGCATTCAACATTTTAAAAGCGTTTTATACAGAATTATTTCTCCCACTATAAATCATAGAACTTCATAGTCAGATGTCATTTTTAGATATATCTGTATTTTAATTTAATTAGATTTATTTCACATAGCATAATATAATATTACAATATGCTTTCACTGATACCCTTAAAAACTTATTTCAGGTGTTTAGTATTAAAAATGTAATTTCTAGATGTGTAATGCATACCTGCAGCAAAGAAAATTAGATCATTACCAGTTATGTTAAGATTTATAGTGGCCTATAAATCTCTCTGCACTTTCAGGGTTGGTTGTGAACTGCCATCTTTCCCTCTTTTAAATCAAAAATCCCTATTTCTATTTCCAGCATTCTCCCTCTTTGTATCCCAAGCACTATTTTACTGGCTTTTCCGACTGCTCAGGAAAAGTCTGTCTCAGATGTTCATACTTCTTGTACACTGGTTATTCCATCATTCCACCTTCTGCATTTCTTTTTTTTGTGTGTTATTCCTATTTAAATTTGTATTGTACTTTTATCAAATGACTGCATGTTATCTGTTTTGTTCTGAAGATGTCCTATATTTATTTTGTTTGTTCTCCTGTCTGTTTCAACTAGATGCAGTTAAAATTTAATTTCATTACCTTAGTTGCTAAACTCTAAGCTCAGCACTTCACTTAAACAGCTAAAATTAAGCTCATTTAAAACCCTGTCTCACTCAAAATACTGCTTTCTGAGATGCGTAACTTTTCTGAGGCCTTCCACATAAGTGTCTATTTCAAGCCAAATTTGTTCTGAAATTCAGTTGACCTTTAATTAATTTCTAAGAATACAACCAGGTGGCAGAGAATTTTTTTTTTCCAACACTTTAAAGAATTCAGGTGGTATACAGTAAAGCTTTATCATCTGACTGTCGTGGCAGGGTAGATCTTTTAGCAGAGAGATTTTTATTTTTTCCCCTCCATTACTGTTCAAATCCATCCAAATTTGGTTGGATTATAAAACTCTTAAAAATGCATTTTCTGTGTGCTTAGTGAGGGCTTGGAAGAGTTTAACAGCCAGAATCTCTGCAGATCCTATTTACCCTGTGCATCCCTGAGCCTCTTGGATCTTCAGTTACGGACTAAACTGCATGTGCCATCCTTTCAGCCCTGCACTAGTCTCCCTGCAAGACTGGATGGCACATGATCATCCTTGTAGAGCATGTGGATCGGCTCCCACCTGAGCCACAAAGTTGGAGTTGGTTTTACCCTACATTTTTATGGGAGGAGAGCTTGGGACACAAAGGAAGCAAAGACTTGGTAGCAGGCAGTGACTGGTACTAGGAGATGAGGCATGTTGGGATTAGCTGAAGAGCAGACTTGGCTGGAAGCTAACATGGAGACAGCAGTTACAGACAGGCAATGGGAGGGGAAAACTGTGTTGTCTTTGTGCAGATGTACAACTGTGAGACAGCTTAAGCTTCCTGTTAAAGCTGCTCTTCCAAGATCTGTGTATAGCGACCTGACTACTCTTCAGAGTATAAAGGTTTCTTTTTATTCAAGCCAGCTGACCCTGCAAAGAGCTTCATGCTCTGGCTATCCCTGCCCCTCTCCTATACAAATGTACCACGACAGGAGGCATGAGTTTTCACCTGTGCAGAGGCTGAACTGCTATGCCTGTTGACCATGATTAATGTATTCTACTTGACTTGAACTAGCCTTGGCTACAGCCTGTTTCTTTTCTTTTTTTCTTTTTAATGAGCTGGTTTTAGAGTCCTAAAATGGACTTGAGTGACTTTAAGGCTGATGTTACGTCATTCAAAAGCTTTTGCTCTTTGGCAGTCATGGGATTAGTATAAACAATGTGCATGTGTACTCAGCTGCTTTGCCCTATAAGGAGGGCAGTCACCTGAATTTTTGTCATTGACTGTTAGGCAAAATACATTGTTACTTAGTAACATTTTCAAGAATACTACTAAAAATTGCTTTCAAACATATCATACAATCTCAGCTGTGCACTTGCATCACATAATAGATCATGCTTTTATGTTCTAACATTTCCGATATTACAAGGATATTTTTCTTCATATTATTTTCTTGGCATGTTTCCTATCCTGCTCTCCTATGACAATGTGAACTTGCCAAGGAACATCATATGAGAATTATGAGTACAGAAGTGTGGAGCTGCATGGAATGTATATATTTTAATTTTAAAAAAAGTGCTATTTACAACAGAATCAAGAATTCTAAATCGTATGTCCAAACCAAAGCATATTTTCTTGCCTTTGAGAGGAAGGAGGGTTATGCTATATACTTTAATATTATACCATTGTCAAAATGCTTCTACAGTTCTTTGAATTGATCAGAAAATACATTGTTTCAACAGGAGTAAAATGCAGCACTGGGACAGATGTTGAAAGGAGTTCTACTGTATCTGATAGATATTAGCAGTCATGTACCTGTTAGCTTTCTGGATGTATAAAGTTCCATTTCAATTTATACTCTTGGCTACTTGTTTATTGTAACAAACCTTATGACTACACTAATTTCTCCACATGACATGATGTGGTATCAATCTCTAGTAGGTAAACATTCTTAAAAGGAGCAAGCAAAACTGACAGCAAATGCTATTTCAGTAAAAGCAAAATTATGTTTATAATGGTTGAATGTAATTGGCTTTGTGCTATGGATAGCAAATGTGCTCTTTGAGAAAATTCAGAAGCATCGCTTCCTAGAGAGGTGGTCTGTGACCCAGGCCTGTCAGTGTTTAAGAGGCATTTGGACAATGCCTTTAATACCATGCTTTAACTTTTGGTCAGCCCTGATGTGATCAGGCAGTTGGACTAGATGATCATTGTAGGTCCCTTCCCTTCCCCCTTCCCCCACGCTGCTCGACTAGATGATCATCGTAGCTCCCTTCCCTGCCCCCTTCCCTTCCCTTCCCCCTTCCCTTCCCTTCCCCATTGACAACTGAAGTAAAAATTTCTTATGAAACTTCAGGATGTAGTTTTTTAAAAAAATTTAGACTCCAAATGACTAAATAAAACAAAATGCTTGTACATGCCAGTGCCTAGCAGAAGCAATTAGGATTCGAGAATTTACAAATTATTCTTTAAATTTTACAAGTTGATTGATGGCAGTCCCCTGTCACTTTTGGGAAGCTTTCCCTCTAGCTATAAATACTCACACTGCTATGATATGTTCTACTTATCTCATGATTGTGCTCTAAAACAAAAATTGCAGCTTCTAACAGGTGCCTACACTTTCCACCCTCTGCATGATTTTGTGAATCACTTTTTTCAACTTCTTGACTGACTGTAAATGCCAGATTGCTTACGTAGCCTTTCAACAGTACAGGGATTAATTATTTTTTTCTAATTTAATTTTTCTCTTTTTGTGAATCTGAATGTAGTACATGAGGTAGAAGTAATAATTTTTTTGCTACATATGAGAAATCCACAGTTCTTTATTCCAACTTGATGCATCTCCATTTGGGATATCTCACAGGAAACAGACTCTTTCTCTTCAGCTGATTGGCATCATTGTGGTAGAAGGTGTGAGATTAAGTTCTCAGGACAAGTTCTCATATTTTTAAGAAGGCAAGCATACATTGATATTCAGTGCCAGTTTCTTTTGTCACTTAAAAATTATATTGTGTTTTATTAAATATTGCAGTTCTATTTTTAAAAAATATTTTTCCAATTAATGGGAGGGAAAATCAAGAAGAACACTAACAAGATAACCTTATAATTATTTTCTGGTTTTTGGATAGCATGTGTACACCTAATACTGCATTTATTCAAGCTTGCATTGCACACTAGTACCATTTGGAGGTTTTGTGTGCCTAATTTAGCCCTGTTATACATAGCTGCTTTTCACTCTTGCATTCAGCTCGTAAGTTCACTAAGTGCTATACATGTAGTTCAGTAAAGGAATGCTTTGCTGTGTGAAAAATCAGTTTGTCTACGATTTTAAAGCTTTCTCATTAGTACCATGCTTATTGAATTTACCTTACGCGCGTTAAAAATTTGTAAAGAAAACAGATATTCCAGGTGTCCATCATCTCTTTTTAGCCATTTAAGTATATCCCTCTAATTCACATTTCTTTTACCAAATTAGAGCTGATTCTCACTTAGTCATTTTCTCTTTTAGCTAAATTGAGCAATGCACATTATTTTCCACATAGAGCGTCAATACTCATTGTTTTGAATTTCTGTTTAACCACACTTTTATATTTGTCACAAACCATTCAGGACACTACTGTTGAAGGGACGACATGCAGTACACCTTCTATTGTTCTTCCAGAGAATGCTGTTACGCCAGATGTAGAATTCGATAAAAATCTGGTTAACAGGTACTATATACTACATTACCAATCTATGCATAAATTGTACAGTAATTCCAGGAGCTGTGTTTCTAAAATATTGCTTTGAAATGTATATTGTATTAAAATATTATTGCTGTATCTCTATTTGTAATTTGATCATATTGTCTTTGCATTTTGATGATGATTTTTTGGATGCAGGGAAGTGTGTGTGTGGAGGGGGCAGGAATATAACTGATACTAGAAGAGTTTCATATAATACTAGGCCTGCCAACCTGACTCAGTATACTTCAAATTTACATGAACTTTCTTGTCTTTCAGAATAGCATAATTTGAAACTAAAACAAAAATATAAGTTAAAGTTTTGTATAATTTGGAATAAAAGATGTAACTTTTGAAGTCTATCCTTTTGCTAGCAAATAAAATATGACCTGGTAAGGAAAAAATTGCGTGGTCAAGTCCTTTTGTAGACATACAGGAGTGTGCATGTGTGCATTGCAATCCTACACCTACTGTAAGGATGACTGACAGTTGGATTCTTCTATGCATGGCAATGTGCAATACTATTCTTCTGTCCGAATTCTAACCTTTACTTAGACCCAGTCAATGAGCAACTGAGACCAAGACAAGTACAACTGAGTATTTTTGTGTTTACTAAAGTATTCCTCCCTCCATGGAAACTTTTAAATTCAGTAGCTAAATCCCTAATTCTGGTCTACTAATTATATATGTACACCAGTAATGCTGCCTTTAATCATATAAATATTTCCACTGAACCAATAAGAACTTTGTAGACTGATGTAGAGTTAGGAAATTAATACTCGTAAGACTTAAAAAATTACTATTTTTTAAATACTAATACCTCCCCAAGGTGTGCTCAACCATCAGCGTTGACTCTCGCAAATGGGTGTAACACAAAGCCTGTGTTGTCTGTTCCCTTCCTGAATTAAAGAACTAGCTATATTACCATCTTATTACAATACACTTGGTATCATGCTGAAAAATAAACATTGTGGCAATAATATGTGCAGTCTGTTGTAATGGTTTAGTCTGTTGAAAGGAAAATGCAGCAACAAACTATGTTGTTCTTAAAAACAATCTGTTTGCATGATCCTTAAATTACTGAAGTGTGTTTTAATGAAGAAGGAAGGTTTTTGGCAAAAGATGGACTTGCAAAGTATGACAGTTTGTACAATAACGTTTGTTTGTGAGGGCAGAAGTTTTCCAAAGAAGGCTTATGATCATAAAAACACTTTGCAATTTTTACAAATAGCTTTTGCAAGTATTTTATTTATTTTTAATGCTTAGCATTTTATAGTTTTATGAACTACTGAAAATGCTTATCTTCTTTTTACAGGTTTAGCATATTATATATCTTTCAGAATAAATCTACATTCCAGTTATGTGCATATTATCTTAGTATTGCGTTAAAATACATACTGTTTTATATAACTTAAGGTTATGCTGGTGAAGCTACTGTTACTGTATATGGTTTTTTCCCTAAAAAAATTGTTGGTCATCTGGCATTGCTGGCTAACTTTCATGGGATAATATTCTGACATATTAGAATATCATGATATTATTAGCCAGCATCTTTGACATTTTCTTCTAAAGCTAATTAAGATACGCTCATTTAAAGTCCTAAGTTGAAAACATTGGAAATTGAGTTAGTGGACTTTTTTTTTCTGTCTAAAAAACAGATGCAAGTGTAGGCTTCTTTTCCAGCTCTCTTCTTTCCCTTTCTCCCTTGTATCTGTTCAGTCCTCCTTCCTGTTTCAATGAAGCTGCAAAACAAACTTCTGTAGCACCTGGAAACTGGGATAGGACCTCATTTCTGATCTTGTGAAATAAAATAAGTATCATCAGTTGAAAATTCAAGTAGGTAATGTTTCTAAGCTAGACAGTTGGAAGAACTTAAATGTCTAACTTGAATACTATAGTACAGTGAGTTTTGAAGCAGACATTTGGGCCTGTTTAGGTAGACAGGACGGGAATACCACCTTGAGTTTAAGCATGTGTGAAAGCAAGCTGTTGAATGGAAATAATAATCTTGTTTGAAGCTGAAAACTTCAATTTTGAGTTGAATTAAGGTTATTTTTGGCCTTCTGATAAAGCATACTTACTGACTGGGGATTTTTAATTTATTGACCTCCCATTAGATTTAAAATATGAGAAAAAAAAATCAGAAAGTATTGATCATAAATCTATACTATAATTTGCTTGTGTGTTTAACATGTACTTCTCCAAACGTCAAGATTATTTAAGACTCAGAATTATAATGCAGCCCTTTAAAAGCAGTATTATTTGCTGGATCAGCATTTAATTTTCTGCAGTCATTTGAGACTTTCACCTGGTTTTCAGTCTAAAAAGTTCCCATATTGCTATATAGGAGTGTCAATGAAATGTGCCTAAGAAATTATTTCAAACATAAAACTTAGTTTAAGAAGCACTAAAAATTTACAAAGACTAATTTTTTTTTGCAATGTACCATATTTACATGAGTTTTAAGTCATGATAATGAACTAAAGAAATGTAGTTTTTCTGAGAAATCAAAGTTTCACAGTATATGAAGTTATCAAATTTCAGAACTCCTTTGTGAGAGCAATTTCTGTAATTTTCTTTCTTTCTGCAATCTTCCTCCATTTTTCCAGTTGTTTGGAGACAAGAGGAATTGCAATAAAACCTTTTTGGTTTATTTTTTTTTTTAATCAAAGAAAAGAGCTTTATTTTTAATGTTAAATTTTCATAGAGAAGTAGACTTTTTTTTTGGTGGCATACTCCCATAATTTTTGTTTGTTCATTTTTCTCTCTAGGCCTCGTAGTCCTCATAGGAGACATTCTAACCGTACCACTAGGAATCCAACAAATTCATTGACTTCCGTTGGTAAGAAGTGATTATTCATTTAAGCTAGGATGTTTTCTCAGAAAATGTGACATGCAATAAAAACCTAAATATAGAGTCTGACTGTATTGACTGCAGCTTTTTTTCCTGTGCATGCATGCATGTCTGCAATGCACGCACTGGTTTTGTGACAAACCGGAAACCAAGCTTATCTGGTGACTATTCCAATACTCCAAGGCTTTTAAAGGGGAGCATCCTTGCTACTGTCACTAAGGAAGCTAGTTCTTAGGCATCTTTAAATAGATGCATCTGTATTTTTTTTCTTTTCTTTACTAAAGCACCAGCAAACATCAGAGCCCTGCTACCTCTCTGAAACTCAAAATTTTCAGAATAAAAATTCTGTTTTGTAAACTCAGATTGCTTTTAGTAATTGAAATTCTATTAAGGACTCTGATTAATAAGTCCTCTTTACATGTTTTTATTAAGAAACTCAGATGTGTGGAGTTGTTCTTGACCAATATATTGAACATGGGGGGGGTCATGGAGCATTTTTGCATTTTCAAGTAGAGAAATTGGAATAGGATTCCTGGCAATCTCAGGAAATATTTCTTATAAGAAGCACTGACATGCTGATGATGGCAGATTATGCATCCCTAAGGTTAGAAACATAAATTATAGGTATGATTCTACTTTCTCTTATATAGAAGTTACTGCATGAAGAAAAAAATCAGCTGGTACCTCTGCAAGTAAGCCAAACTCTCTCTGCTATTAACAGTGTATACACCTTAATTTTTTTTCTTTCTGGTAGTCAAAACTGAGAGGTCAGAACCCTTTCCAGCAGAATTTAATGTATTATTACACATTTCATTTCCCTTTTTATAGATTTGTGAGAGTTAATTTGCTGGAATTAATTGGTATTTGTGACATGACAAAAATACAATAATATTTTGGTACACCTGGAATGCTGGGCTAGTTTCACACAAATAGAGAATTGGAGATTTTTAAATTTAGCAGAACATCCTTAACATTACTTTTTTCTTAATAAGATAATAAAATATTGTATGTAAGTAGTATTTCCACTGTTGTACTAGAGTTAGCTTCTCAGCTATGCAGAGAGAACGTGCTAACCATTTGTCTCAATAACAGTCAGAATTAATCCATCCTAGTTTGTGATTCTGATGCTCTCATAACTGGGTACTCAGTTGCATCAGTATGCCTATAAACATGTAATTGAAAGAAAGCCCACTGAAAGATTGTTAAGAGGCTTCAAAGAGTTGTGACTTGCCATGTACTTGCTCCAGTTTTGTGATTGGTCCTTTAAATTCGTGAGTAAAATGTGGGGTTTGGCTGCTTGCATTCAAAGGGAAACTTCCTTTATTTGTCCTGTAAAACTAAAAGATGGATATTCACATCCATGTATATCAGCTCAGATCCACTTAACACTTTAAAATCTATCCTGCTTGCCAGCAATTGATTTTAGAGGTAGCTAAACTTGTGGAAACTAAGTAAAGTTATGGAACTATACTTACAGAAATCAGACTTATACAAAAGAATGATTATGCCCCCATATTCAGAGATGCAGCAGCAAGAGTCGCTGGATGTAATTTGAGATGAGCAAAGCTCTGAGTATAAGGAACTTTGCACTCACTATAAAGTCAAGCATTAGAACAATCTGCCCAGAGCGGTTTTGCATTCTCCATCCTTAGAAGTTTTTCCACACCAGATTGTCTTGAAAGACTAGCAACCTGGTCTGATCTCACCACTCATTCTGCTTTGAACAGGTTGGACTAGATGACCTCCAATAGTCCTTTCCATTACTCTGTGATTCTAAGATGTTACTTTTCTAAGTTACGAATTTTCTAATTAAACCTGTTACAAAATGTCTCCTGTTGGAGGTTTGACTTGCCTGAAAGAAATGTAACTTCATGGACATGTGCAAAATCATAAACTTGTAGACCTGAAATAATCAAGTGATTCTTTGAACACTTGTCATTTGTGAACAGGTGCTGAGATAGGATGCAGCAGGAGAAACTAAAGGGAATTCATGGCAGAAGAGAAAGTGGTAGCAAAGGGGAAGGGAAATGGAAGTGGTGAAGAGGCGGAAAGAAAGGCAAATATAAAAAGACAAACATGTTGAGTATAGTGAGGAAAACTTACCTGCTCAAGGAAGATAGAAATTACCATACTTTGCAACTCTCCTCTTTTGCTGGCCCAAGGAAAGTGCTACAGGAGATCCTTCTCTCAAACTTTAACACACAAATCTTAATGTAAAATAAAACAAATATTTCATTAAAAATAGATTGCTTTAAGAATATCCAATCTGTGGGCATGCTTTTTGACAGCCTTGAAATTGAACTAAATTTATGGAAATTAAAAACAAAACACCACCATGCCCTGAAAAACCCCAAACAAACAACCCCACACCCACAAACCAAAATTCCTTGAGTTTTTTGCTGCTTGCTTATGTGTTTAGCTTTTCTGAAGACTGATTGTTCTGTAATGGCTCTTGTCAAATTTAAAAATATTTTTCTTTTATTACCTGATGACTTCCCTCTGCCTCACCCAGGCTGTTCTTTAATAAGTTGTTCTTATTGCACAGCAGTGTTATAAATTCTCTCTTCCCTAATAGAGGCATCAAGCTGGGAAGAGAGACAGTCACAACTGATTTTTCTTAGAACACATTTTATTCACTAAGCTGTTGTTAATGTGATTAAGTTGTTGTTAACACCAGATAACTCTTCACACAACACAGTCACTTATTCACTCATGTAGCTAGTTCACTCACGCAGTCACAACTTTTCTCAGTTACCTGAGAATAAGTGCCTGACTTGCAGTCTGTTGTTGATGCTAGTGTGTGCTAGTGGCCTTGTACAGACTGAGCAGACTCTTAGTGATCTATTTATCAGTTCTTGCAGATCCAACCATCTCACTAATTTGTAGAGTTTATCAATCCATGAAAAACTTGCACACACTACCTTATCAGCATATATGTTTTCTTTCTTTGGCCTGTTGTTTTCAGGTAACTCTTTCTCCTTTACAAGCCTACATGTTTATAGAAGCCATTCACACCAACTCACACAGAAAGAGCCTTTCCAACAGCAACATTCTTTGCTTAATCATAGCCTGGAGAAGTGTAAAAATTAGTGCTTGAAGTTTAGTGGTTTTGACCAATTTGGAAGCCAGGGATTAATAGGTTCTTTCTACAACTAATTAAAAATTGTTTAGAAAACAATGCATTAATCTAAATGTTTGAGTGTAGGGCAGGGGCTTTCAGTTTGTGATCCATGCATTCTCCTGGGTCACATATCTAACATATCAACATAGAATCATAGAATGGTTTGGGTTGGAAGGGACCTTAAAGATCATCTAGTTCCAACCCCCCTGCTACAGGCAGGGACACCCTCCACTAGACCAGGTTGCCCAAAGCCTCATCCACCCGGGGCTTGAATACTTCCAGGGAGGGGGCCTCCACAGCCTCTCTGGGCAACCTGTTCCAGTGCCTCACCACTCTAACAGTAAAGAATTTCTTTCTAACATCTAATCTAAATCGACCCTCCTTCAGCTGAAACCCATTACCCCTTGTCCTGTCACTACACTCCCTCATAAACAGTCCCTCACCAGCTTTCCTGTAGGCATAAATGGGCATGAGGAAAAGCAATCTCTAACAATGCCTTATTTAACCATGGATATTCTAATGGATTTTGCAGTTCCTTTGGAAAATTCTTGCAGGTCCACCACATGGTAGATACTGCTTTGCTTTTTGAAATAGCATTATAATTCTCAAGCTTTAGCTATTCAGCTTCTGCCTGCAGCTTTGCCAGATGCAGCTTTACTGTTGCTTCTGCATTTGTGGGGAAAGCTCTTCTATCTGCATAGAATAAAATCTTTATACTTCCAAACTCTGCACTTTGTTCTATAGATTATTTAATGAAATCACCTGTATGTTAAAACTAGTGTGCATATATCTTTGCCAGGTGAGTTTGTGGGACCTTAGCCTTGAAAAGCTGGACAAAAAAAATCCATGGGAAAGAACTTAAGTGTACAATAGACATGCCGTGACTGCTAGTTGAAATGGATCTAATGCCACTTTTACTGATAAATTAGAAAAACTGTGTTGGGGACACAGCCGGAAAAGCCAGTTTCACATATCAGATCATCTTTGATCCTAATGACTTAATCTTAGTGGGTTATCTGTGTTTTTGAGGACTTGCTCTAAACTTGAGAATATAACAACATGAGAAATGAGCAGACGTGAATGTTTGTTAAATGCAATCTCAAAGCTAAATTTATAGATATGTTTTGTACTTGTTACTCTGAAATGCCACAACCTATCTGGAAATATGAGATACAGCTCTAATTCTGATGTTTTCTACCCAGACAACAGTGGTCATGTGATTGATCTGGTAAATGATCAGCTACCAGATGTCAAAATATCAGAAGAAGACAAAAAGAAGAATCTTGAATTACTAGAAGAAGCAAAGAAAGTAAGCGAACGATTTCTAATGCGCAGAGGCAGAAAGTCAAGAAGCAGCCTTCCGGAGTCACCAACAGGTAGGTGCAGATTATGAAAACAAGATTTTATATTCTACTTCAAAGATCTGCAAAGGCACATTTGAGCATCTACTGTAATGCATACGTTACTACTGTATACATACACTTTGTTAATTTGAAGGTCAGAATCTCTCTGCTCCTCCTCACAATTCGATATAAAACAGAAATGACCAATCTGTATATTCAGATGTAACAGTGGAAGAAGGTGTAAAGTTTTTAAGTGCCTGAATAGCACACTGCAAACACTGTAACAGGAAAGCATGAAGTATTTTTATTGGAATCTACAAAGTGATCATAAATTTCTGGTTGTGAAGATTTTCTTCCTAAAGTTGCTATTGTACATAAAATGAAATTTTAATGGCAAGATTCATACTGCTGAAAAACAATTCCCCCAGACGTAATTACACAGACTTTTATTCTTAACATAGTCATAAACTAAGCTAAAGGGACCAGATCCTCCTTTAAAACAGCAGAATAAAATGTATTGTTCTAGAGTGTCAATTGAAATTATTTTTTCCCCTCGTATGAAGTCTTTGAAAACTAGGACAAAATGCTATTTTATCATGAAGTAGGACTTTCATTTAGCTTTGAAATGCCAATTCAAAACAAAGTTCTATCTTAAAATTGGCTTGGCACTTTCTGGAGGAAACTATACTTTTTAAAATTAATTTTTCCTTGTTTTTTTCTAAATTCCTTGTGAAGCCTTCTCTTGTGTCTACTTCTCTGCAGTGCTTACAGTATCAGAAAACTCAGGAGAATAAGGATTCTGTGTATCAACAGACTTGTATTAGTTCATGGCAGGTATATGAGATAAAACCTGTTCCTAAGTACAACTTGGCAATTAAAATGACTTGTCAAGTTCTGGACAAACATGACTGATGGCTATATGAGATTCATGTTCTAATTTTATCTGAATTTTTAAAATGTAGATGCTACAAGCCTAGAAAGTAAAATTACCTTTTTGTTTTTGTCTTTGTTTTAATGAAGCAGTTTCCCCTACACTTAGTCCTAAAGTTTCACCAGTAGCATCTCGGAGCAACTCTCTCACTCTTCCACTTCCATCAGGTAAAATGATCTATACAGGCTCAAACTTTAACTTATAAAAGCTAACCAAATATATGGTTTTTAATATCTCTCGAGGAGAAATCAAAATTTGTAGATTCAAGCATCTCCAGAATATGACAAAGCTTATGAATGCCCACAATATGTATTTTTACATGTATATTTTTTGTATTATATTTTTATTCCTGTGGTGCTGCTAAGTTATGCGTTCTGTTTCTTTATTCTTTTCAACAACGGAGTTTTCACTCACTATATTTTAGATAATTTTTTCCCCTTTTAAATAGTATTTTCCATGTTTAAATTTTGTCCTTAATATGTTACATGGGACTGTGCATATATGTGTTTGCTAATGCTGTAGTAGTAAAATTTTTGAGCAAAACATCAGGATATGCCCTAATTATGTCTGTGCCTTTTTAGGGTCTGATGTATGCACAACCACTAGTGTTGAGTCAGTATCTCCAGGGCAGGTAAGAAAGAGCTGAATAGTCTGCACAGTAACCTGGTTATTGCAGTACTATATTATACTATACTGTCTTATTAGTCCCTGAGGAAAATGGGATATTTTGAATACCATTTTATATACCAAGATTGTATTATTAATATGTTTTTTCTGCAGAGTGAGGGACTAATAACGTTAACTCTGAAGACAAAAATCTATGAGGTGACAAGCGCTGAAGGATCATAGAGATCTGTTAAGTGTAGAAAATGGAAGATCCAATATAATCCTAATCTATGGAAAAAACTAATCCCTAAAATTACTTCATAAATAAATGTGACAAGCAGTGTAAAAATTAAGAGATTCAAAATTCATCTGTTAATATCTATGTCTAACATTTGCAGCATAGATCTCAAAGATAACCTTGTAAGGCAACTTTTTTCCTCTTTTTTTGCTAGAATAACAGAACTGTGAAAGAGGATGAAAGGCAAACTGCAGAGGTAAGTGTTTCACATTGTGTTGAACAAAATCTGCCTGTTTTCTTAGCACACATATGACCTATTTATGTGACTAAAAAGGCTAAAAGACTGTTCACTGAGTGAAAAGAAAAAACAATACTGCTCTAAGAAATTGTGGAGCACCTGCAAATATAGTGGAGGACAGTAGGCTTACAGCTAGCCTTTACAGCCTATCGTGCACCCTGCTGTAGCTCAATTCAAATAAATATACTAAATACCTTTATAAGTTCAGTAGAAATATCTTCTAGAATCACTTTGGTGTATGTTTGTGTACAAGTCCATGGCTTTTTCCCTTGGGAGGTTAGGGACTAACAGAAAACAGAGGAAAATAACAGTGCTATAAGATACAGGGTTAAAGGAGTGTATTCAGACAAGCCTTACATTAAGATGATGAGAAACTTGGCTATATGAGGATTGCTATAATGGACTCCTCTGGAATGTGAGGAGGTTATCTCAGAAGTTCAGAGAAGAGATTCCCAATTCAGTGCTCTTTCAAGTGCCTTTTAAAAATTATTTCTCTCATCAACAGCACATGTTTAAAAGCAAATGTCAGTGAAAAGGAAATGACTTTTTACAGTGAAAATCTGTCCTTGGGCAGGGGAAAAGAGAAATCTGCTCTTGTTTCTCTGCTTTATGTGTCCCCCTCTACTTTCAGAATGCTGCAAAAGGATTAATTGATCGAAGACAGAATGATCAAAGAAAGATTTCTCAGGGAAGGTTGGTTCCTCGTTCTGCTGGTTTTGAAAACTCCAAAGAGAAGCTCTCAGAACAAAAAGAAAACTTTGATCCACGTAAACATATGGATACTTTACCTAAGTGCTCCCCTTCAGGTGGTGATGGTGGCAGAATGTCTCTTAACACTTGCATGAATGTTTGTGAAAATGAACTTGGAAAATCATTCCTCAAGAAAGCAAAGGAAAATGATGTTCCTTTAAGAACCCATCTACCAGGACCAGGAATAGGAAATATAGACTCAAAGCTAAAAATTCCTGTTCCAGAAATGAGGGACCATAAAGTTTCATGTAAACCAGAATTTAAACTGTGTGGACTGCGTCCTCCTCTACTACGGGCTGTATCATGGGATAGCTTGGAGCCTGGACAGAAAGATAAAACACCTTTAAAATTACCATCTGAGGAAGATAAAAGCTTTGTTGTTGGTAATAAATCCAGCAATCAATTAAAAGCATTCAAAGACCTTCAAATCCAAGTTCAACCGGTTCGAATGCAGAAATTGACAAAGCTCAGAGAGGTGAGTCCTAGTCATCAGTCATATCCTGTTTCAAAGTTATTTTCATACCTTACTAAACTTTCAACTTACTTAACATTATTTTTATCATTGCAAGAAACATACAGTAATATAATGGGAAACAGTTTCAGCAAAATCAATACAGTATTGTATGGTGTCTTTCCTTTGCAACTTTAGTAAATTGTGTCCTGTAATTAAATTTCATGGAATTATTCTTAATTCTCTTCAAATATGCATCAACTGCACTGTGGTCTCTTCAATATGCACATACGCTTGTTTGCATATACTCTTGCATATGCAGGTTTTGGCCCCCAGAAAAAAATTGCGATACTAGTATCAAGAAAGTACTAATTGCTTTCATTATAACAGAAAGGTGAGTCTAAAACACAATATATCTCATTTTTTGCATCATTTATATGACCTGTAAACAGGAAGCAGTTGATTAGCAATCATGTCATTTATAAAACATACTTGGGAGTAAAATGATCTATTTTGATTTCTAAAGAGAATTTTAGATCTGAGGAATCTTTCCTTCCTCAGGATGTAACAACATTCTCTTCAAAAGGGTCGCTTATGCTCTTTTACTTCCTTTGCTTCCGTGTGCTTTTTCTGCTCCTTTGGAATTGTCCTCAGATCCACAGGCTCTCACAATATATTGACTGACTGATTTCTGTATGAGTGGGCTGAGACCTGCCTATAAACAGAAATCTTTAACTGCAGTTTGGAGACAGTTGCTGTACTCTTGTTTAAGGGCTTACAGGCCTCTGCATATTATATACTATTTGTAATCTTGCTTTGGATTTAAAAATCACTTCTACTTTATTTGGCTGAGTGTTTTTGAGTCCTGTATTGGTTGGTATTCTCCCTTCTAAGGGCAGCAGTCCTGTCATTCAAGAGTACTAGCCTTTGCAATAACATTACATTTGCAAGATCTCAGGGCACAGGAAATTGTTTTGCTATGGTTTTTTGCTTATTGAAAATTCTCAGAAAATGTCTGAAAGTGTCCAGAGTTTTAGAACTGGGTGTCCCTGAGAGCAAGGGCAGGTAGAGGATGGCCATACTTACAGTTCCTAATTCTCACATGGTGCAAATGTGTGAGCTTCCTGAAGGATAGACTTGGACTATGAAATTTTTAAACTAATCCGTTGTTAAATAATCGTCTAAACAATCGGTAAAAATTAAGAATTAAACCCTAAGAATTAACCAGTGTATTGAAAAAAAGTAGAAATGTCATGAAATGATAAACCACCATCATTATAAGCTACCATGTGTGTATAGCAAAAATGACCTTTGAAAAGAGAAAAAAAAATAGTAGTAGTTACTTTCCATAACAGACTAATAAGAATATTTTCTTTGACCTCCAGTAGTTAATATTTTAAAATGAACACAGGGCTTACAGGTGAGGAACTCAAATTCTGCATTTTGGTTATTTCATTCACGTTGTATTGTGTGGGAATGGCAGCTTAGCTATTCATCTTTTCCTATTTATATATATAACACACATATAGTTAGCATATATGTACTAGAAGTTTTGATTATAGAGACAATTGAGCCATATAATTTTGAAAGTCCTAGAAGCTGGTAAGCACTAAGAGTAATTAGAATCAGAAAATTAATACACCATGATTTTTAATTCCAGTTAGGTGAGACTTGAACTCTGTCTCCAGTAGGAATTGTCTACTTATAAGCAAAAGCAGGTGTTTGTGAATTGTAAACATATTTGAGAATATGAAAGTAGAAAATGAGGAGATGATAGAAGGAGAAATAAGATAGCAAGATTTAATCGTTGAGTACATTCTTCCCTACTTGTAAGGAACAGGGGCAGAGTACAGTAACAGCAAAGTATTGACTTGCAGCTGTAACATACCAAGCTTTTCTGCTGAATAAGTCAAAGTGATAAAGTCTCAAATATCTGATTTTTCTGAATTTTCTCTCCTTTCTGGGATACTTACTACTATGGCTATATCCAAAATTACTTTTTCCGCTCTTATTTACTAAAACTCTGATTTACCAAAACTCAGTTTTTCTACTTGAGAAAAGGGCACATGTTGCAAATCTCTGTTTGCCTCACCAGGGATTTTTGTAAATAATGCATGTATGAAATTTGAAATGTGTAATATTTAAGAGTGTGTGTGTGAGTGTACATGTATCCATGGAATGTAGCATCTGACTATAACTTAATATCTCCATTATGTTCGTTTACTAAAGTGAACATTATATTTAGTGGTCTCATGGCAGTGTTATTTAAACTGAGATTTCTAGATGAGTTACTTAAAAATGTTACTGTTTTTCTTAACAGGAGCATATTTTGATGAGAAATCAAAATTTAGTCGGACTTAAACTTCCTGAACTTAGTGAAGCAGCTGAACAGGAGAAAGGTGCAGTATCATAAAAGCTGGAAGGAATGTTTGTTACACATTGATTTTTATAATTGACTAATACGGAGGGGGAAAAAAAGAGTATTTTTCTTCAATTGCCATAGCAGTTGTAATGAAGCAGTCATGGAGGAAGGTAGTAAACAATGAATAAGAGAGACCAATAATGGAAGTACCTAGATTTCTTGATGATCTGAGCCAAGAAGATACTAGGTATTATTACACCCAAATGAGAAGATGCATACCTTGAACAGAATCTAGCTTGTACTTAATAAAGGAAGGACTGTCTCAAGTTTCAGTGTCTTTCTGAAAAAAAAGTTTCAGCAGTGATGGATTGAACAGATGTGACCTCTGCAAGATATTGTGGCCATAAGGGAGAAGTTGATCCTTGAAAGCATAAATAAGGGATGGAATGCTATATTCCTGCTTTTTTTGTTTTAGTATATGTGTGGCACATATTGGAATGGCATGTTCACTTCTGGTCCACAGCTCTACATCTATGTGGATAGGTAATAAGGCCAGAAAAGAGACATAAATATGATTGAAGAATTGGAAAAATATAAAAATACACCTTACAAGGGGGGGGGGGGGG